AGTAAAAGTTGGTTTATTTCACTATAGTAAATTCTTTTTTATATTATAAGAAATTTTTATATTATAAGAAATTATAAGAAATTTTTAATTTCAATTTTTTTGATTTCACATTTTTTGCACCAATACAAGTAAACTAGACTTTTTATATAATTTCAATTCAATATCGTAAAATTTTTTTATTTAATTAGATTAAAATTCTAATACAATATTTTTTTATATAAACCAAATATAACAAAGGGCGCTTGAACTTGGCGTCATATTTTTAAAAAGTAATTTTGTTCTAATTCTAATTCTTCTTTCTATTTGGATGATGGTCTATTACAGACGGACAAAATATATCTGTAGATTCACTGTCAAGAATTTCAATATCCTTATAACTTTTCAACTTTCTATATCGCATCTGATTAACATCGAACCATTTAATAGTTGTATTTCGATCATTAAAAATGTTAAAAATATTGAATAAAATGTTAAAATATAAGATGTAAAAAATGTTAATTAAATTATGTAATTATGTTATTGTGTTATTTTATTTATGTTTATTAAATGTTTATTAAATTGAAATAATAAGTTTTAATAAGATGAATGACAGATGTTATGTTTTAATCTACTAAAAAATTAGTGGCACGTAGTTGAAAAATATAAAATATAAAAATATAAAATTTATTTGAAATTTATTTGAATTTATTTCATATGAACTTAGCAACCAAGATTCTACTCACTGAGAAATTAGCTTTGTCTCTCTCTTTGATATATTATTATTATATTATTATTACTTTATTATTATATTGTATTATATTATGTTATTTATTTATTTTTTAAATGTTATTATTATTATTATTCTTTAATTTAATATTATTTATTTATTTATTTATTTTTTATTTAAACTTATATAATTAAAAAATTTCGCGTAATAATGAGCCAGCCATGGGTATCTCGCTGCCATTCTATACAACTTCGCTCCGCGTGAATTTGACCTCGAGAATATGAATACTGCTTTCTAGTGTCGAAATTAAAAAAGTTACATTGGTGTGAGAGAAGTGAGAGAGAAAAGGACAGATAGTGAGAGAGAAAAGGACAGAGAGATGTCTGACGACGACGACGTGACATTTCTTAAAATTTAAATATTTTGACTTTGCATTGCAATATCTCTATTCATAAGGCACATAGAGAAAAATTAAAAACACTTTTATTATATAATTTGATGCTTCGTTATCGATTAAGTCTAGTTAGAATTCATTCGATTTAGCCGTTGCTGAGATAATGTAAGTCGAGTTCATCTCGGAGTCTAGCGTAATGATAGTCACAGGCGTCTCGCCGCCGTTCTACGCGACTTCGCTACGCGTGAACTTGGCGTCAAGACACTACCCGTATCTCTTGAAACTATCAAAATTCAAGGACAGTGACTTGGAATTCTTAGAAAAATACATTGAAGGCGTCAAATCAATCGCGAAAGTTTTAGATAAGCTACAAGACGAAAAACTTGTTTTATGGCAAACCAGTTCCACTATAGAAGTTGCAAAAAAAGTTGCAAAAGCTGCAACTCCAGCATTTAAAATACTGTACAAAATTAGTAATTGTACTAGAAGACTTAAACAAAAAATTCAACTATTACTTTGATTTTTCCTCTTGAGTAAACGATGCTATTTTAGTAGCTATCTATTTTTTAAGTTACGGTGAGTATCAAAAGGAAAAAGAAATAATATCAAAGAATTATTTTTTAATAAAGCTGAATCTTTAACCCATGTGCCAAAAACTTGAGATTCGATAAATGTATCCGAAGTCACATGTAGTAAAAGCTTTTTTGCTTTTAAAGGGGGATCATCTTCCGATGTTGCAAACACTTTCATTAAAAATACGATTAAATTGCAATGCTTGCAGTATTTGCAAAATGAAGATACATGTTTGGACTCGCTTAATGCATTTCCTATGGTTAAAGAAGTTTTTATAAAATGTAATACTGCGCTCTTGTCGTCAGTAGAACGTTTATATGGAGGTACGATTATGCATTCTAATCGTTGAAATATGCACAACAATATCTTTGAAAAACAATTGCTGTTTAAAGCAAACAGCGTGCTTATCAAGTAAAAATAATAAATACTCAAATACCCAAATGAACTGCATACATGAAGAAAATCCAAAGCTATTTAAAAGCTATTTAAAATACCTATTTATCTAACTTATATTTAAAATGGATTTGAAAAATTTACATTTTAAATAGATTTTAAAAAATATTTTACACTTAACCTTTTAAATGTAATAAACGATCTTGATTAAGAATCAAAACTCATTGATAATCATGAGAGAATTATCATAAATTAAAACGGGATTTAATGAGATGTACATAATATCACCGCTTCGTTTCTTCAATTTAGTCGAGATACGTCTTTTCAAGTGATATCATCTAAGTATCAGCTAGTATATTGTTAAAAACAAATTCGATTGTGAAAAATAATAAAACAAGTCACACAACTTATTAATACGTAAGTACGTGAAATTTAGCTTAATCAAATATTAAACACTAGTTATAAAAATATAAACAATTACATTTATATTTTTTATATAAAAAAGAATAATTTTGTGCGCGTGTGCAATCGCGTGACGTTTTTTTATATGTATAAACATATTAATTACTATATTGTTGATACATTTATATTCCTTCTCTCTCTCTCTCTCTCTCTCTCTCTCTCTCTCTACTC